GCTGTCCTGTATATACAGCTTTTCCTTCTTTTGTTTAGGATCATAACTGTCTCTACAGTCTGATATTAAAGGCATTGGATCTATCTTGGATATCATACATGGTCAGAGAAGCCTTTAGGATAAGAATCAGATCATGTATATTATTGTAACATCACATTGATTTTACAGAGGATGTTATGTGGACTTTAATGACACAGTGTTTAGAGATAAAATGTACTTTATTTTGATTCAGTTTTTTAAAAAAAACTATGCTTTAACAAAATTCTTAGGAATTCTTTTAAGCAATGCAGGTATTGCAATAACTGTAGATGTTACAATGATGTTACTCCACAAATGGGAAAATAAATTCTTTAAAATTGAATATTGAGGAAAAAAAAATACATCGCTTTGCCTCTAGCAAATAAGAACAATGTCTCTTTGCTGATTCAGCTATACTGAATCTTTCCAAAGCATTTGCTTCAGTTAAAGCAAGTTTCAATTAGTATTATTCTAATTAGAACAATTTTTAAATTTTTACAGATGAGGTTTCACTATGTTGCACAGGCTGGTCTCAAACTTCTGGCCTCAGGGAATCCTCCTACCTCAGCCTCCCGGGTTGTGGGGATTACATGTGCATGCCACCGAAATGGGCCAATTAGTATTTTTTTAATGGACAAATTATAATTGTGTGCATTTATCTGATACAGTGTGATGCTCTAATTCATGTAACGGAGTTCTGGGAAAGGCGTACCAACCCACAGTGGTACCTGTGTGGAAAGATTAAATCAAGCTAATTAACATGCCAATTACCTTGCTTATATTTTTAGTTTTAATAGAGCCAGTAAATCTTTTCACACTCGAATTTAACTTATATTAAATTATTTATATTATATAACTTACACAAATTAAATTAATTAACTTGTTTATCTTACATTAAATTAGGCAATTATAATAACTAGTAAAAATTTTATATACTGGTTTGGCATAAACTTAATTAGTTGGAGTAAAAGTAGGCAAGGATTCGATTTTAAAATGAAGCCTTAAAATCTTGAGCTTTATTTGGACTATTTTTTTCTCGTTATGTAAGGTACTTTATTATTTATTTGAAAAGTAAGTTTAAGCTTTAATTGAGCTAAGCTTATTCAGTAAGTTTTTTCAATATACCTGGAGAATAAAGGTTAATTGAGGCTGCAGTTAGGAAGTTTTCTCTCTTTTTAAATTTTTATATTTTGTAGATATGAGGTGTCGCTGTGTTGCCCAGGCTGGTCTTGAACTCTTGGCCTCAAGTGATCATTTTATTTTTGTCTCTCAAAGTGCTAGGATTACAGGTGTGAGTCATTGCAGTAGGCCAAGAAGAATTCTCTTAAAAGTCATTTTTTAAAATCTGATTGAATTGGTAGTTTTCAATCCCTTCTTTTTTGTTGTTTTGTTGTTGTTGTTTGTTTGCTTGATTTTTTTAGAGACAGAGTTTGTGCTGTCACCCAGGCAAAAGTGCAGTGGTATAACCATAGCTCACTGTAGCCTCAAACTCCTGGGCCCAAGGGATCCTCCCACCTCAGCCTCTCCAGTAGCTGGGACTACATGCATGTGCCATCATGCCTGGCTAGTGTGTGTATATATATATATATATATATATAATCGTAGAGACAAGATTCTCACTCTGTTGCTCAGGCTGGTCTCAAACTCAGGGCTCAAGTGATTCTCCATCCCTGGCCTCCCAAAGTGCTGGGATTACGGGCATGCGCCATTGTGCCCGACCCCAATCCCTTCTGTTACCAACTTTAGGTTTATGAATGTGTCCTATTCAGCTATGTGACACACACACACACACACACACATACACACACACACACACACCCTGTATAGTTTCCAGGTTGTTTTTGTTTTAATAGAGATGGAGTCTCATTATATTGCCCAGGCTGGCCTGGAACTTTTGGGCTCGAGTGATTCTCCCGCCTCAGCCTCCTGAGTAGCTGGGACTACAGGCATGAGCCACAGCACTTGGCTTTCCAGGTATCACATTGACACTAGGAGGTCTCCTATCTTCCTTGAGTGGCATAGCCCAGGAAGTTACACCACGCTATTGTTCTCTCACATGGGCAGATTTCTGCAGTCACGAAAATTAGATCTTCACAGGGACATAGGCAGTGCAAAAATTCTACCACTGATGGACACTGACAATTCCTGCTGCTGGCGTTGGTTCTGAGGTCCAGTTTAGCTCCTAGAACTTCATCTGTCTCCTTATGCCTGTCATTCTCCTGTTAGCAGATTCACCACCCACATCAAACTTCTAACTTTTGCTATCTCCATCCTGGAGCTTGTAATCCCAAGCAAGATTTGTTTTAAAAATGTTTGCATTTTGGGCCAGGCGCGGTGGCTTATGCCTGTAATCCCAGCACTTTGGGAGGCTGAGGCAGGTGGATCACCTGAAGTCACGAGTTCAAGACCAGACTGACTAACATGGTGAAACCCTGTCTCTACTAAAAGTACAAAAATGAGTGGGGTGTGGTGGTGGGTGTCTGTAACCCCAGCTACTTGGGAGGCTGAGGCAGGAGAATCGCTTGAACCTGTGAGGTAGAGGTTGCAGTGAGCCGAGATCGCGCCACTGCACTCCAGCCTGGGTGACAAGAATGAAACTCTGTCTCAAAAAAAAAAAAATTTTTTTTCATTTCTAGTCGAGATTTAAAACATTCAGTTTGTGTGGGAGAATTGTGTTACCTTTGATTTTTTGTGGTTTCCTAATTCTGCCTTTAAACAAACACTGTATTATCTAAGAAGCAGAGGCATGTGTAAACATCTTCGTGCATAAGTATTGCATAAGACCTAAAATTAAGGCCCGACATTATATACGTCCTTGATAGCTGGGGACATTGGGAGGGCCTTACAAGTCTGAACCACAAAGTTTCCATCCCCACAGCCCTAGGGTGGGAATCCTTTTCTTATAAACGAGGTAAACAGGAGGCAATTAAAACAATAAAAAAATTTAAAGGAAAGTTTAGTGTTCATAAATGTGTTTAACATTAAACCACCGATAGTCTAGAAGCAGCCTTTGAAACTTCTGTAATTTGGAAGTTCTGTAATTTGGAATAGACTTTGGAGCAGCCTTGTACACTCTGGAAACAGCCTTTTAAACTTCTGTAATTTGGAAGTTCTGTAGTTTGGAAGTTCTGTAATTTGGAATAGACTTTGGAGATGAATCATAATGGCTGAATAGATGCAGGTAGGTGTCCTCCACAGAGAAAACCAGAATAGCAAGTAGATACTCACATTTCAAACAAATGGTCTAGGAGAGAATGCTGGGGTTCACCAGAGAAGAGATGGAAAGCATCAGAAGTAAGCAGAGGGTCCGAGGCAGCTTGCCCGCCTGGGATTGACCGAGCTGGAAGAGACTCCTGGATGTGGGGGGGCAATAAGAGGGACAGCCCCTGGGCTCCACACTCCCAAACGGGCTTTTATAGTCTTGGCTATGGGAGAAACACCGGACTCACTAGGGCCTCAGGCCTGACATACGAAGCTGCCTAAAGATGTTGCTCCAGAAAGGGAACCCACACGCACTCCCACAGGCATCTGAACCCTAGGCAGCCTCAGATGGGCACCATTTTGAGCCCAGACGTCAGGTATCTACGGACAGCTGCTGCCACTGTGCTGCTGCAAGAAGGCGGAAGGGAGACCAGGCACTCCCACGCACCCCTGGGAGGGTCACTGCCGCCCTGCCGAAGGCTGCAGTTGAGACTTAGACGTGAGCAGACTGCATTCCCCATAGCTTCTTGCCCATGCTGCTTGCGTGGGAGGGACCTCAGCCTCTGTGGTTGCAGGCCCAAGGTGCAGTTTTCATAGTTGAAGTTCAGGCTGTGCCCCACCCTTGGCCTCAGTTAGAGTTGACTTGGCTGCAGCTGTGGCCCGGTTTAGGAGGGACAGGGAGTCCAGGCTCTCCTATACATACTCAGGATAATACTCAACACCCTGCTGTGGGATGATGCTTTTCTAGGAGGGGTCTCTGTCTTGCCTGGTCACAAGCCCACAGCTGGCACCATTTTAAGTGTTTAACACTTGGCTGTGCCCCGCCCTCCAGGTGAGTTTGAGGTGATGTGTTCCACACCCTGCTGGGAGAGGAACAGGGTAGACCAAGCTCTCTTACCAAACAGGGTAGTCCAAGCTCTCCAGGGTACACCATACACAGGACAATGACCACTGCAGTGCTACAAGTGACTGTGGGACTGGGGACAAGCCTGCCAACTGATCGTATCTTCTTATAACACCAATATGGAGGGCTTGAGTCCCAGTGAGCTGCTCCCCCACTGCTACTGCTATCTCCCATGCCACACCAGCTGTCCAGGGGCCTGAGAACCTGCCCACACACCGGGATCATCGCTCCCACTGCTAGCTTCTAAGCCAGACATCTGGAGGCCCAAGAATCAGCCCCTAGAACCCACTAACTCGAGCCAGGGTATGCGGCTCTGGGGCCTAAAAACAGTCACTCTCATCCCACTGCTGCCACTACTGGGGCCAAAGACTGGCTCAGTTGACATCCAAGTCTCCAGTTAAACTTTACTACAACCTCAACTAATAGCTGTAGCTTAAGCCACTGAGGAAATCACAGATACCACTGACCCCGAATACTGCCAAAGAAGTCATACAAAGACCACTCTACTGCAGGTCAACCGGGATAATTTCCCTAACCCCTTCATGAGACTTGTGACAGGGGTACTCAAAATACCTGTAGTGCTCAATTGCTCACCAGTGGGTGGGGTGGGGTGGGGGGTGGAGCATGCTGGCAAGGGGATACAGGAGCCAGGGCAGGCGTGTTTTGGGCACTGGCAGGAGCACAACTCTGTACTCGCCCTGCGGCAGCATCTGGGGGATCCTCACAACCCATGAAACCTCAGAGGGAGTGTTGCAGTCAGCGCTCTTTTGGCTCTGCCATCCACAAATGGCTTAGGTGTTTAACAGCTCGTTGTGACAGCCCTGTGTATCCTGAGCTCCTGCTCAGTGTCCAGGAAGAATCAGGTTGCATGAACGAATTGAAGATAGTAAATGTGGGGAATTTTATTGCCAATGAAGGTGGTCTCAGTGGAAAGGGGAGCTGGAAAGGGGATGAAACAGGAAGGTATATTTCCCCCGAAGTCTGGCCGTCCCCAGCTGGGCTCCTCTCCAAAGCTATGCCATCAAGCCATCCCTCTGAAGTCAAGTTGCTTCTCTCTGAAGTTCATCTGTAGTCTCCGATGTCCAGCTGCTTCTCCTCTTCTTCCCTTCTCTGCTCTCTGCCAGTGGAGCCTCGGGATTTTATGGGTACAGGACAGGGGCAGGGGTGACGGGGCAGGCCAGGAGTGGTTTTGGAAAAGGCAACATTTGAGCAAGAAAACAGGGATGTAAAGTTCCCCCCATGGGCCGTGGTTCCAGCCTTGAGGGTGGGTCTCTTACCAGGGACCCTGCCCTTTTGTGCCTAGAATTTTCCTGCCTCCTGTTCCTATCACAGTGCCCCAAATCAAAGTGTCTTAACAACGTACATCCTCAGGAAAAAATTATCCCCTACAAAAGCAATTTTAACAAACTGGAACAAGTGACTTGGCTGCTACACCCAATGTGTAGATATCAACAGAAGGACACAGTCACCATGAAAAAGCAGGAAGATATGACACCACATGAAAGATCATAACAATTGTCCAGCAGTAGATCCCAATAACAAAGAATTCCTCAAAATGCCAGATAAAAAATTAAAAATATGGATCTTAAAGAAAATGTGATGCAATAGAAATCTGAAAACCAACACAAAAAAATCAGAAATTCAGTTTGGAATATGAATGAGAAATTTACCAAGAAGATACAGATATCATAAACTTCTATAATTTGGCTATTGCACAGCATGATGCATATAGTAAAAGAAAATGTATATTTCAAAATTATTAAGAGAGTACATTTCAAGTGTTCTTACCACAGAAAAATGTCAAATATTGAAGGTAATAGATATGTTAATTTCCTTGAGTTTAATTATTCCACCTTGAATTCATCAATCATGCTGCATCCCATAAACACAACTATAATTTGTCAATTTAAAATAAAAAATTAAAAAAATAAACTTAAGAGGTTTATTTTTACGCTTTTTAAAATTCACATCCAATTTATAGCCCTTTTAAAATATATTTACATTTCAAGATACACATTTGATGGAACATGTACATTTGTCAGTGCTTAGAAAGTTCCAGTCCTATAGTCCCAAAAAAAGAAAAAAAAAAAAGTTAGCCAGATGTGGTGGCATGTGCCATGTGCATGTAGTGCCAGCTACTTAGGAGACTGAGGTAGGAGGATCACTTGAGCCCAGGAGGTTGAGGCTGCAGTGAGCTGAGATCATGCCACTGCACTCCAGCTTAGATGACAAAGTGAGATCCTGTCTTGAAAAAAAATAATAATAAATAAGAAGAAAAGAAAATTTCTAAGATTTTCCTCCCATCTGCTCACTCCAACACTCACAGCCTGAGCATCTTCCCAAGATGCATCTCAACAACTCACTGAGATGAGTATTATTTCCTCTCAACTGTGAAGAAAGAAAAATTGAGGAATTATGAGACAAAGACAAGGAGAAGAGAGGAAAGATTTCAGAATTAGCCAGACATAAAACAACAGTGTCTCAGGTGATGACTATCTAGGGTTGGTGTCACATGGGTAGTAAAAAGAATTCACCAAGACAGTTGTAGGTAAAGAAAGGCAGATTTCTTAAGCAAAAGTAGAAAAATATGTTGCAAGAAAGCAAAGGCAAAACAGCAAGTGGGGAGCTGACTGCAAAGAGACAAAGGCTTGCTGGGGATTTTATAGAATGGTGCTTGTGCTGGAGGGAGCTACTTACAGTACTGATAATGGCAAGGTTGCAGTGAGCTGATTTGCATTTTTCTTTTTTTAAATGAAATTTAGGCTGGGCGTGGTGGCTCAAGCCTGTAATCCCAGCACTTTGGGAGGCTGAGATGGGCGGATCACGAGGTCAGGAGATCGAGACCATCCTGGCTAACATGGTGAAACCCCATCTCTACTAAAAAATACACAACACTAGCTGGGCGAGGTGGCGGGTGCCTGTGGTCCCAGCTACTCGGGAGGCTGAGGCAGGAGAATGGTGTGAACCCGGGAGGCGGAGCTTGCAGTGAGCTGAGATCCGGCCACTGCACTCCAGCCTGGGCGACAGAGCGAGACTCTGTCTTAAAAAAAAAAAAAAAAAAAGAAATTTAACTTGGCTTTTACTGCATTTTTAAAATGTAAAAATGTAAAAACAAACACAACATAGTATTTCAATGCTGTACCTTTATGCAAATGACTTCATCTATCTTTTTAAAACTTGCTGTGATATAGCTAATGCTAAAACTGACACAGCTTCACTTTCTTCTTTTTCTCTATACTGAAAGCTGCAGAAATACACCTTTAATTCCAAGGCAATTTGGTTGAAGCCCTCAAAATAAAAAGTATACATCCACTTCCACTGCCCTGACTTTCCCCACGTTGTTAATTCTGATTCTCTGTGCCATGTTAGTAGATTAGGCAGGCTATATATAATTTGTACAAAACATCTTTAGCCAGGGTAAGGCTTTAGAAACTATCTTAAAAAGAAACTTGTCAAAATATTTTTGATATTTAGGACAAATACTAAATATTATAATTTTCTCCCAGCACATCTGTTTACACAGCCCAATTAGCTGGGTGACCTGTTAAAGATCGGCTTATGGAATGAATAGGTGAAGTCATTTCCTGAGCCAAAAGATACAGATAATAAATGTTAATAATAGCAGCAGACTGAAAAATTCCTTTTTGTTGTTTTCTGTAGTCAACGGTTTTAGCAAAAGAACTTTAGAAAATGACAGATTTTTTTGGTAAAGTTAATGCCTGAAAAGAGTTTAATAAAGAACATCCAAGGCCTGATCGCTATTTTTCTGAGTGTAACTTTTAGTTACTTTCCATAAGTTACGTTCAGTTACCGTCAGACATCTTACTGATGCATGGAAAAATGCCCCAGAAACCTACTATGGTTTACATACATTTTACATTACATGTATTACCTCTTAAAACCCCCAACAGAATAAAGTCTTAGCAAACACAAATTTTAATTTCTGAACACCCTTCCAGTAAGATTGTAAAGGTGGGAGGAAGGGGAGGAAGGATTTGTTTTTTGTTTTCCTAGTCTACTTGATTAAAATTTAATCTTCCAAGGGTTTGTTTAGCTCACTATCCAGGCTGCTAGTGTTATGATGAACATTATTACTTCTTTCCAGGGTCAAAAAATGACATTTGAAAGTAACGTAAATGCTATGACATGATTTTCCCAAGCATGACCTCATCTTGAAACATTAGAATATTTAAGAATTCTAAAGATTGGTATACCACCACTGCACCAGATTTTTTAATTATTCCAACAGCTACAGGAATTTTTTATAGTTTTTTAATTTTATGAAATTAAAGCTGAAGAAAATAACTGATTTAGAAACCATAATAAAAGGAGAAGTACTTAGCCAGAGATATCAGTTCTTCCTGAAAAAGGATAGGTTACCTCCTCTCATTGCAGTTTTTGTCAAGGTATCTTAACTGATTTCAGGTAGAATTAAAAATTCAACTTAAAAATAGAAACAAACAAAAGGACTACTTAAACTGACATTAACTAATAAAAATATGCTCAAATTTACTGACAGAATCATGGGCACTTCATACAATATTTAGACTCTACCAGTTGTAAGTAAAATAAGGAAAAAATTACAATTACAAAGCCAGTCTTTTCCCTTGGGGAAACCAAAATCCACTTTTGACCAATTGTTCCCTGCTTATACATATACTGTATATTATTATAAGCTTCTTCAGAGAAGCAAAGCATCTTTGTCTTCCCGACACTGGATTATTTAGCATGGTAGTTTTTTACATCAGGAAGGCAACTGCATGACTTGCATTTTTCTACCAGCTGAGGATCTGGTGATAGCTGGGTGCAAGAAGGTTGTGGTTATTTATACAGGAGGGCTATTTGTCCTGGACCATGAAGAAAGGCAGACTTATAGCTTATCTGCTTCTTCTTTTTGCTTTCCCCTGCTCCCACCAGGCTGACTCTTTTGCCCTTATTAGAACTCCACAAACAGGAGTTCCTCTTCAAGCCCTCTGTATCCCTCATCCCTCCCTCATACCTTTAGTTAAGAGCAAGGTAGCGGCCTTTACCCGATACAGCTCCGGGAGATGGGAGATGAGTGACACTGAGACTTCGTACCCAGAACCTTCAGCTTCACAAGAAACTTCTGCTGGGGGCCAAAGGACTCGGGACAGCAGAGCTCAAAGCAGGGCCAGAAGGTGCAGTTGGAGCCACAGCGACGGGTCTGCTCTAAGGACAAGATGGCATCATCGTAACAGCACTGCTCCGAAGGGTTGTAGATCTTGTTCCCACACCTGGGCACCGGCTGGCACAGCCATGGTCCTGAGTCAACAGGAGCATCTGGGGGCAGACATTGATGGTGTGCATCCAAGGAAGAACAGATACTCAATTCCCGGTCTCTCTTCCCAACGTCACCTCTTCCCTTTTCATTCTTCCCTGTCCTGTCCTTACCTGTAGTTCCTTGTGAACACTGGGAGAGGAAGACTGTTATCCCCCAAACAAGAACTAAGGGAGAAAGAAAAAAGGTTGAACATGGAGCTGAGAATGTGACAAGTACGGAAACAAACAAACAAACAAACAAAAACAGGGGTTAGGGTGGTTTAAAGGTGGAGATTATCACTTGGGGCTAAATCTGTATGGGATCCTGTCCAGGCAGGCTCTGAGCAGCACGCTCGTCACGCTTTGAGATAACTAGGAGGGAACAGGAGGCTGTAATAATGTTAGGGATAAAGGGGAATGAATTGGGTTGAGGTTTGGGAGCTGCACTGGGGATGGGATGAGACGATATTTGGATTTGGGGTCCTACTTACCCAAGATGCAGCATCGTGGCATCATGCTTCCAAAGAGGCTCTCAGAGAACTAAAGGAGAGGGGTAAAAGGCTGGAACTTACGGATGCAGGCTAAATGGGCTTGTCTGTTACCCTGGTAAGTTTACTGATTGGACGGTTGCTGATCGTGCCACCTGCAGTCTCCCAAGCACACTCCTTGAAAGTAACTGAAGTCTCCCAAGCACATTCCTTAGTTTCTGTAAGGAGGAGACTGGGTGGCGTAAGGGACCAGAGAGCCGAATATTGCAGACTGACTAATTGCATTCTCTGTATACTGTTCCCAGACCTCAGGGTGAATGAACGTAGGTTGGTCCTACTCCAAGTTAGGCTTCTAAGAGTTTTCGAGCTCTGGCATTGATGAGGAGAGAGTGCCCAACTAAGCTCCAATCAGAGAGAATACTTCAGCCACTTCCCCATCTGGTTTCACATCCTTCCCTTCCTAATGCTTGTTTCTTCTAAATTCCCCAAGCATGATGTCTCTGGAAATGTCAAGGGGATCCTTTCTGAAGCCACTTTGTTTTTTGCTCTGGAGTCATTAGAGTTGTCACCTGCCCTAGCAGATGAGCCATGGCTCTGGAAACTTCAATAAGGGGGGTGGGGGTGGAGAATAGCAATGGCCCAAATCTCCTAGTGTGCTTGGTGCAAGGATTCAGAGACCTCCAGCATCTTAGTTACATGGTCAGGGAAAGTACTAAACACCTGCTTTTCATAATCATACTATATTAGTGGCCAATGATATGTGATGTAGTACTTAGATATGTGTAGTACTTAGGCGTGCAGAGGGAAGGGAAGGGCAGGGCAAACTGAGGCCTGCCAGGCAAGTGCCAGCTAAGGAAGGGCTTGGACAAGTTCAAATAATCCCAAAGCTGTGGAAAGGACCTCAGCCTTCATGGGTGTGTGATGATTCCATCAGAAAATGTCTAAGGATTGGCCAGACTTTCCATCCTCCACTTGCTGGCACAGCATAGGGACGAGTTCATCCAGCCTGTATGATAGCCTTTGAAATGGTTCTCCTTTTCTGAGCTTTGTTCTTAGCTTCCTGTACATGTGCTGAGGTGTGGGGTGTGGTTTGGATGCACAAGGCTGCTTTTCCCTACCCCGGAACCTAAGAAGGCCAACAATGTGAAGATTCCTAGTGAGCCCAGGCTATCAGCTTGTTTACTACCAAATGTTAAAAAGAAACGTTCGAGTTTGATTAGGTAAATTACAAAGGACAAATAATAATATCTTTAATATACAATTATCATTCTTCTTCCAGATGAAACTTCAGCTTGACTATTGGGCATTGGGAAGTTAATGTGTACTTAACTTTTCATCTTACACAAGTGGAGAGGGGCAACTTGAAGGGATAATTTTTAATACATTTTATAATGATAATCATTTAGATAAATTATCCTTAATGTTGTATCTCATTAATACTAAGATGTCATTGAAAGACACACTGTTGTTTTACAACTCTAAGATGCAATCTCATCACTTAGAATGTTTATACTTATTAACAGAGCTTCTTGCTCTGTTGAGACGTAGACTTTTGGAAGGCAAATAGAAAAATAAAAATATGTGGGAAATAAATGTGTTAAAGATTTCTTAAAATGTCTCCACATTTGGAGACTACCTCCTGTGAATCATCTTTCAACCCCAGATTGGTTCCTGTGCTTTCTTACACAACATCGTTCTCAGTTCTACCAACAGCACTGGTCATGCAGAGTTTGGTTTTATTCTAAGCTGCTGACACCCGTGCTGCAAGTTATCATTGAACTGGTGACACTAGCCCCTTCTTTCTTTGAATTTTCTTTCATCTACTCCTAGAGATTTTGACAACTCCTTCTGCCTTTCTTTCTTTTTTTTTAAATTATACTTTATGTTCTAGGGTACATGTGTACAACGTGCAGGTTTGTTACATATGTATACATGGGCCATGTTGTTTTCCTTGTGCTAGGCAATCCTTTTGTGCCTATCTCAGAAACAAAATGTGATACTCTTCATCCCTTTGTCTTCTTGTGTCCCATAAAGCACTTGGTTATTGATTTGCAAGAAAATATGTACCTGGGTTTATTCCTAAAACAATGAGTATGTGCTTCATTAACAGTAAATTTACTTCATGGTCTTCTATTAATGTGTCATTCTGCACACACAACACACGAGCCAAATCATGGTGTTTTCTGATATTTAAAATGACAATTACACTCAACACATGAAACATAAGCAATCCACACAACTTAATTGAAGTGTCAAGGATATTAACCTGAAGACTTAGTTTGTCCCTGTACAAGCGACAGCAGCTATGTCACTCTGCTTGTCTGACAGCTATTGCAAGACCTTATTGATGATAAGTTGCATCACTAGTTCAAGGATATGGGAATGTAGACTATATATGTACATCTCTGAGTGGAGGAGAGTCATTCTAATTTGAAACTGAGTATTTATGAGGATCAGATGAAGTCACACTTGAAAAAGCTCCCAGCACAGTAGCTGGCATGTGTCAAGCTCTTAGTGTTTTCTCTTCTCAACTGTGCTTTCTTAAGAAGGCTGCAAAACAGGCTGGCACAGTGGCTCACACCTGTAATCCTGGCACTTCGGGAGGCTGAGGCAGGAGAATAGCTTAAAGCCAGAAGTCCAAGACCAGCCTGGGCAACAAAGTGAGACCCTGTCTGTGCCAGAAAACAAAAATAAAATTAGTTGGGCATGGTGGCGCATGCCTACATTCCCAGCTACTCGGAAGGCTGAGGTGGGAGGATCACTTCAGCCCAGGAGTTCGGGGCTGCAGTGAGCTGTGATGGCACCACTGTAATCCAGCCTGGGTGACTGAGTGAGATGCTGTTGAAAGGAAAGAAGAAGGAAGGAAGGAGAAGAAGAGAATAAGAAAGAAAGAGCAAAATATACACATCTTGTTCCATGAACTATTGACAATTTAGGTCATAGGCAATCATCCTTAGTCTAAATTTTCTTGAAGGAAGAAATAACTTTCTGGCACTAAGTTTCAACATAATTTAGGTACTGGACAATTTTTGCTGATTTAATGAAAATTATCAATCCTCCTCCCAGAAAATTGTTCTTAAACGGATGTATAGGTAGATAGGTAAGATGTATAGGTAGGTAGGTAGGTAGATAGATAGATAGATAGGTGATGGATGGATGGGTGCTTAGATGACAGATGTTAGATTGATAGACGACAGACAGACTGCATGCAATTTCCTTTTTTAGTCACTAATTTTACTTTTTTTAAACGTTAAAAATTTACTTTTAATTTTTTCATAAGTTATTGGGGTACAGATGGTATTTGGTTACATGAGTAAGTTCTTTAGTGGCGATTTGTGAGATTTTCGTGTACCCATCACCCGAGCAGTATACACTGCACCCTATTTGTAGGCTTTTATCCCTCACCCCTTCCCAACTTTCCCCCTAAGTTCCCAACGTCCATTGTATCATTCTTATGCCTTTGTACCCTCATAGCTTAGCTCCCACATATTGGTGAGAAGATATGATGTTTGGTTTTCCATTCCTGAGTTACTTCACTTAGAACAGTTTTCTCCAATCTCATCTACGTTGTTGCAAATGCTGTTAAATCATTACTTTTTTTTATGGCTGAGCAGTATTCCATTGTATATATATACATGCCACAGTTTCTTTTTTTTTCTGCATTAAACTTTTTAAATGGGTCTCAAAATTCTGTGATAAATTTTTGGTCAAGCTGTTTCCATTAAAAAGTACTGATTTAAAAAACTAGTAACTTAAAACTGCCACACGCAAAAAAGAAAACCAAAGTGGTCCACAAAACATTCTCCTTTCCTTTTGAAGGTTTTATGATGCATTGTTATCCCTAACCAGTCTTTTATTACTAAAGTTAAATGGCCAATTGAAACAAACAGTTCTCAGACTGTTCTTCCACCACTGATTAAGACCGGGGTGGCAGGTATTAGGGATAATATTCATTTACCCTTCTGAGCTTTCTGGGCAGACTTGGTGAGCTTGCCAGCTCCAGCAGCCTTCTTGTCCACTGCTCTGATGACACCCATGGCAACTGTCTGTCTCACATCATGAACAGCAAAGCGACCCAGAAGTGGATAGTCCTAGAAGCTCTCAACACACATGGGTTTGCCAGGAACCACATCAACGATGGCAGCATCACCCGACTTAAAGAATTTAGGGCCATCTTCCAGCTTTTTACCAGAATGGCGATCAATCTTTTCCTTCAGCTCAGCAAACTTGCATGCAGTATGAACCATGTGGCAATCCAGTACAGGGGCATAGCCAGTGCTGATTTGGCCTGGATGGTTCAGGATAATCACCTGAGTGGTGAAGCCAGCTGCTTCTATTGGTGGGTCGTTTTTGCTGTCACCAGCAACGTTGCCAAGATGAACATCCTTGACAGACGCATTCTTGACATTGAAGCCCACATTGTCCCCAGGAAGAACTTCACTCAAAGCTTCGTGGTGCATTTCGACAGATTTTACTTCAGCTGTAACATTGACTGGGGCAAAGGTGACCACCATACCAGGTTTCAGAACACCAGTCTTCACTCAGCCAACAGGAACAGTACCGGTACCACCAATTTTGTAGACATCCTGGAGAGGCAGGTGCAAGGGCTCGTCAGTTGGATGAGCTGGTGTCAGCTGGATTCGGTGCAGAGCCTCAAGCAGCATGGTTCCACTGGCATTGCCATCCTTACAGATGACTTTCCATCCCTGGAACCAAGGCATGTTAGCACTTGGCTCCAGCATGCTGTCACCATTCCAACCAGAAATTGGCACAAATGCTACTGTGATGGGGTTGTAGCCAATTTTCTTAATATAAGTGCTGACTTCCTTAACAATTTCCTCATATTTCTTCTGGGTGTAGGGTGGCTAGGTAGAATCCATTTTGTTAACACCAACAATTAGTTGTTTCCCGCCCAGTGTGTAAGCCAGAAGGACATGCTCTCGGGTCTGCCTATTCTTGGAGATACCAGCTTCAAATTCACCAACACCAACAGCAACAATCAGGACAGCACGGTCAGCCTGAGATGTCCCTGTAATCACGTTTTTGGTAAAGTCTCTGTGTCCTGAGGCATCAATGTCCAATGACGACAATGTTGATACGAGTCTTTTCCTTTCCCATTTTGGCTTTTAGGGGTGTTCTGGTGGCAAACTCATTGCAAAAAAGTACCACAGTTTCTTTATCCACTCGTTGACTGATGGTTATTTGGGTTGGTTCCACGATTTTGCAATTGGAATTGTGCTGCTATAAACATGCAT